CGATCTGTAGTACAAGCCTCACACACAATGGCCGGGCTACTCTGATCACATGTCCCCGGGAAGGGGTGGAACATTCCTCATGTGTGGGGTACACGGAGCCTCTGATTGGCTGGAGTCAGCCTGACCTCCCATGATGTTCCTGTGTGTCTGGTCTCCTATTTATCATTGTTGTGGATTCTATCTGGTGTGCTATAGATCTCCCCTCACTTCCTGTTACCCCCGGGACAAGTCCATAGATGTCACTTCCTGTTACCCCCGGGACAAGTCCATAGATGTCACTTCCTGTTACCCCCGGGACAAGTCCATAGATGTCACTTCCTGTTACCCCCGGGACAAGTCCATAGATGTCACTTCCTGTTACCCCCGGGACAAGTCCATAGATGTCACTTCCTGTTACCCCCGGGACAAGTCCATAGATGTCACTTCCTGTTACCCCCGGGACAAGTCCATAGATGTCACTTCCTGTTACCCCCGGGACAAGTCCATAGATGTCACTTCCTGTTACCCCCGGGACAAGTCCATAGATGTCACTTCCTGTTACCCCCGGGACAAGTCCATAGATGTCACTTCCTGTTACCCCCGGGACAAGTCCATAGATGTCACTTCCTGTTACCCCCGGGACAAGTCCATAGATGTCACTTCCTGTTACCCCCGGGACAAGTCCATAGATGTCACTTCCTGTTACCCCCGGGACAAGTCCATAGATGTCACTTCCTGTTACCCCCGGGACAAGTCCATAGATGTCACTTCCTGTTACCCCCGGGACAAGTCCATAGATGTCACTTCCTGTTACCCCCGGGACAAGTCCATAGATGTCACTTCCTGTTACCCCCGGGACAAGTCCATAGATGTCACTTCCTGTTACCCCCGGAGGGGGGCAGTTTGGAGAGGGACGTCAGCTCCACGTTGGCTATGCTGAGGAATTCCAGCTCCTTGAACCCGTCATTCAGACCTTCAATCTCCCCGTCACCGGACCGGCAATTGTCCAGAACCAACTCCGTCACCTGTCAGGGAGAGACACTACATGTATGAGGATCACACGCCAGCCACCCGTACCACACATGTATGAGGATCACACGCCAGCCACCCGTACCACACATGTATGAAGGAGACACGGAGAGAACCCCGAGCACGGACTGCGATGGAAGATCACTTCTACACGGAGAGACCACACAGAGGACACGTGACCCGTCACTAGAAGAGCCCCCGCAACATGAGACCACCAGCACTGGGAGGATCACTACCACCATCATCACAACTACCACCATCATCATCATGATCACC